CTGAGAGCGCTCCGGAACGCTCTGGAGCGATTTATCCCGATCCTAGCCCTGTTTTAACCACCCCGCCCCACCCCCCAAACATCCAGCGCTCCAAATCTTTCAATGCGTGGCCCCCCGGAGGTCCGGGCAACTTCTCTCTCGGGCCAGCTCTTCGTCCCGGATCGTTGTTTTATGGTCCCAGGGCCCGTCGAGGGCCCCCGGAAGCAGAAAGTAGCACACATGCAAGCCTGCCGCTCCATTTTTTCGGGGCCTCGGATTTCTGGGCCCCCTCCTCACCCCCCTCCTCCCCTCAGAGCTCATCTTTGACGTCGAGGCTGGAGACCCAGTCGCTGGCGTCGGAGTTGTGGCCGGAGGGGCGGCTCTTCAGGACGCAGACGTGGCGCCACACGTGGAAGTTCCAGTGCGTGCAGTTGGCTTTGGCGCCACAGGCCTAGGGGGGAGGGGGAGGGGGAGGGGGAGGGGAGGAGGAGGAGGAGGGGAGGAGGAGGAGGAGGAGGAGGATGGAGGAAGGAGGAGGAGGAGGAGGAGGAGGAGGGAGGAGGAGGAGGAGGGGGAGGGGGAGGAGGAGGAGGAGGGGAGGAGGAGGAGGAGGAGGAGAGGAGAGGAGAGGAGGGGAAGCAGGAGGAGGAGGAAGGAGGGGAGAGCCTAGGAGGAGCAGGAGGAGGAGCAGGAGAAGGAGGAGGAGCAGGAGGAGGAGGAGCAGCAGGAGGAGGACGAGTGCACGTGGCTGGGGGCGGGCACGTAAGACCAATGTGAATCAAGGATGCTGCAATACTCTGATCGGCGGCGAGCCAGGGGGGGAAGTCAGAAGGGGCGGGCCTTCTCAGAAGGCTCGGATCCCCTCGCGGCCCTCTGAGGAGCTTTCTGCGCCCTCCTGGAGGACACCGGGATCTTCTCAGAAGGCGCGAGGGCTCTGAGAGGTCCCGCCGCCCTCTGAGACGGCCCTCTCCTTCTCACTCCCCCCCCCCCATCGCTCGCCGCCGAGCAAGCCCAAGATGAACCAGCGATGCTGCAGTGCTCTGCGCAGAACCCGTCGCCGGCCCGCGCGGAGTCCCTCGATCGCTTCCTTGGGGCGCGCCGGCGGGCGGCGTCGGAGGGGCTCTCCCCCAGGGGCGGGGGGGGGGGGGCGGACCAGCGCCAGCCCGAGAGGTCCGGGCGGGACGTCGGCAATGTGTGCTCGGGCCACCGCTCGCGCTGAGGTCCGCTGCGCTTAGCTGCCCCCATGCGCAGCACGCGACACGAGGAGGAGGAGGAGGAGGAGGAGGAGGAGGAGGAGGAGGAGGAGGAGGAGGAGGGAGGAGGAGGAGGAGGAGGAGGAGTGGAGCTCAAGACGTAGACTGAGCGCGCAGGTCTGGCGCGACACGTTCGCCCAAACGTGGGCCAATACGCTGAGCCAACACGCAACGTATCGGCACGGACACTTCAAGCACGGTGCGTGCTGCGTCTCAAAGCGGGCGCAAAACGGGCGTAGACTGGAAATTCAGCTGCCGCGTGTATCGGGGCGTATGCTGGAAGTTCGGCTGCTGCGTGTATCGGGGCCAACGTGTGCCAGGAGGCAACTACGGGGAGATTCTCGTCGGACGGACTATGGAGGGTTAGGCCTCCTTGGGGGGCTGCTACGCCGGATGAGGCCGCGGATCGAGCGGGATGAAGCAAGATCTAGCGGGAGAAAGCCAGATCAAGCGGGATTAAACTGGGTTGCGCCGGATTTCGGACCAGGGCAAAGTCAGAATTCGACCTCCCAGGAGTTGCATCCGAGCTTGTGGTGTCCAAAATCCGGATAGCGGGGCGGCAGAACCTCGAGGAAAGACTCTCGAAGGAGGTTCTGAAGGTCGGGGAAGGAGCTTCTGGAAAGCTTGGCGGCACACGCACTGGGAAACAGTTAGAAAACCCCTGCCGGGACCCGCTGCAACTTCATAGGAGCTGCTGCGAGGTGTCCTGCCCGAAGCTGGAGCGAGCTCCGCGGCTGCTCTACGCTGCCGCCTTCTTATCGGAAGCCATCTTAGCTCTCAGAGAGCTGTCTGGGAATAGCCTTAAGTCGGGCATGTCCCCACAGGCGGATTTTGAACGAAAAGTAGAAATTACCCAACCATATTCAAAAATGGTCAAAACATGATCGAAACATCGTCCCCATACGATTTTCTTCATTATTTTTGAATGTTCCCCCTGTAGAGGGACACGCCCGACGTAAGAATAGCCCGATCTGTGGAGCATCGGTTAAAGCCAGAGGGGGGTGGGGAGACGACGAGTGTCGAGGCCGGAGCAGACGAAAGGCACAAGCATCAAGTGTTTGTGCCGTCCTGTCTTCCCGGAGGGCCGCGGCGCCCTGCTGGCTGGAGGCACGGCCAGGGAGTCCGAGCTGCATGGACCCCGAGAACATAGGTCAAGAGGGGGAGATACAGTCGGGGCGTTGACCTAAGGAACCCTAAATAAGGAACGAGGCCCCCTTTTTCCATAAGTTAAACTTCGATTTCCCGTCGAAGACATCAGGAAAACCTGAGGCAAGCTGTGAAACACTTCAGGAACGCGGAGCCCCTCCCCAACCAAGAGGGCTCCTTCTTCAGGGCCCCGACTGTATGGGGGAGTGATGAAGGCGAATTGGCTCAGAATCCATCCCGGGCCCCCGCCCCGGGGCCACCTGGCGTGGTTTTTCACCCTGGACCCGTTCGTGACAGTGCCCGGACCAGCCCTCAGAGGCAGAAGGACAGAGAAGGAAAAACCTGGTCGAACCCACCACCTCGAACCTCTTCCCCCCTTCCTGCTGGCCAGAACCAACGCTGTTGACATCTCAGACTCCAGCCCGACTCCAAGTCGTTGTGGAGCTCCCCGAAAGATTGTGCTTACGGCAGGTTCGTGTCGTGTCCACCCCGGCACTGGTCCCTGACACTGCGGGGATCGTTCAACCTTGAACGATTGTCCGTTTCCGAAGCGTCAGATGCTTCAACATCGACCGATTCTGGGTTGCCGGCGGCGTTCAACGTTGAACGCCGGCCGCAGGGCCGCCGCCGGTCGACAAGACGCGAACCTACCGAATGCCGCGTTCGTAACATAACTCGGGCCTCAGGCGGCCGTTCGGGACGATTCGGGCGCTCCCTGAACGCCCTCGACGAGGCGCAGCTGCTGGAGAGCACTCCGAAGCTGGAAGATCTCAAAGAGCAGTCGAGATCTCCAGACAATCGTATTGTGTTGTTTTTACTCTCCGTTGTCGACTCCATGCACCTCCTTAGCCTCCTCCCTCCTCCTCCTCCTCCTCCTCCTCCTCCTCCTCCTCCTCCCCCTCCTCCTCCTCCTCCTCCTCCTCCTCCTCCTCCTTAACCTCCTCCTTCCTCCTCCTGAACATACTCCTCCTCCTCCTCCCCCTCCTCCTCTTCCTCCTCCTCCTCCTCCTCCTGTTCGTCGTCCTCCTCCTCCTCCTCCTCCTCCTCTTCCTCCTCCTAGTCCTACTCCTCCTCCCTCTTCCCATCCGACACGTTAGCATGGGGGAAACGGGTCCTGAGGGAAACGGGTCCTGGACCTTGGGGCCTTCCCCCAGGACGAGATGTTCATCCTGAGCCGTTCTCTGACAGTCCTGGGGCCCGTGGAGGGCCCTGGGAAGCCCAAAACGGCGGACAACTTCATGGCCGCTTCCCAGGGAACCCTTTCCCCCCATGGCGAGACACGACGCGAACCTGCCGCATGCCGTTTTTCGCTTCCCTCGGGGGGCCACGGCGCACTCCTGCGTGGTGTCCTGAGCGGCAGCGGTAGGGGGGGGGACCGGCGTAGGGGGGACGCATCGACCTGGAATCGGCGCTACATCGCCAATAGATCGGCGAGAGGCCTCCGATGGTGAATCCGCACCTTCCTGGGAAGCTTCGTGCTAAGGAGGAGGACGAAGAGGAGGGGGAGGAGGAGGAGGAGGAGGAGGAGGAGGAGGAGGAGGAGGAGGAGGAGGAGGAGGAGGAGGAGGATGATGAGAGGGGGAGGAGGTGGAGGAGGAGAAGGATGAGGAAGAGGAGGAGGAGGAAGAGGCGGAAGATGGGGTGGGGAAGGGAGATGGGGAGGAGGAGGAAGAGGATGGGCGATACGGGAGTCGATGCATCTATCTGCCCCTACGTATGCCTATCCCACTGTCGTTGCCCCTGGTGTCCGTTTGGAGCTCCCCGAAGTCGCCGTACATCCACGCGCCGCCCTGCACCGACGGGGCCCCGCTCCGCGTCCGGGCCCCGTGGCCCGCGATGAGGCGCTCCTTCTCGGCCCTCGTCTCCTCGTCCCCAGGGGCGAAGGCGAGGGCGAGGGCGGGGAGGAGGGCTCCTCCTCTTCCTCCTCCTCCTCCTTCTCCTCCTCCTCCTCCTCCTCCTCCTCCTCCTCCTCCTCTTCCTCCTCCCCCTCCCCCTTCCCCTCCCTATTCTCCTCCTCCTCCTCCTCCTCCTCCTCCTCCTCTTCCCCCTCCTTCTCCTCCCCGTAGCCATTTTGGCTCAAGGCTAAACGTTGTGAAGGGCTATAGACGCCCGAGAACCAACGATTAGCTTTGGTTGCTCCGTAGCAAAGGCTCCGCATTGTGGCAAGATTTCCCGTGTTCGCTCCTTTGCGAGCATTGCTCTTCTCACCTCGCCCCTGTCCCAGTCATGGCCTGGCGCCGGCGAGCGCCCTGGCACCAGAAGAAGCGCGGAGGCGGCGGTGCATACTTTGTCTGCTCAGCATGTGGTCATAGGGAATCTGACAAGCGTGGGCATGTGCAGTGCTCAAAGTGTGGTGGACAATACAAGGGTGCCAGCCGTGATCGACATGTGGAGCGTGCCCCTCGGGCCCATCCTGACTTGGGCGCCGAGTTTGACAGGCTACTGGGCCTTTTTCCCAGATCAAGCTGAACATCTACGAGCTGCTCGTGCCCAAGTTCTACCCCGTGATGTTCCTGAACCACCGCCACTTGCCACTGAGAATGAACTTGACAAGCGTGTGGAACGCCAGCGGACCTCGCTGGCGCAGGCGGTGGAGAAGGACTCGAAGGCTAAGAGGATCGCCCCGTATGAAGTGGAGATCCGCCTCGCCGCAGTGGTCCGACACCGAGATGCTCTGGCCCAGGCGGTGGAGGCGCATCGCAATGCGGTCGCGGAGCTGGGGGCTGCCGCGGCTGCTCACCGCGAGTCCTGCGAAGCGATGGACGGCTTCGATCCCAAGGTGTTCAAGGACCAAATCATGTCGTGATCGTCTCCGTCGTGCTCCTCAGCATTGTGCTGCTGATCTTGGAAGTGGTGCTCAGAGACGTGGTGTTCGTTGCTCTGCTTGCCTCGCTCGGGGACCAGGGGACCAGCTGCTGGTGCTGCTGGCTCCCGTCGTACTGCTGAGCGTCGCCGTGCACTGTTCCGTCGTTCAGCTCAGCGATGAGCTGCTAGTGGTGTCCATTGCACTGCTCGCCTCACTCGCAGACGAGCTGCTGGTGCTGCTGGTTCACAATGTGCCGCTCGACGTTGTCGTGCTCGTATCTGTCGTGATGCTGCACATTGTGCTGCTGGTTTCGGACATGTATACCGAGCCCGTCCCGCCCACGGCGGAGATGCCGCCCTCCTTCGGCTTCTCGTGAATGATTCCGACGAGCGTGCCCACGACCACGGTGTAGTGCAGCTCGCCCTCCACGATCCGCGGGCAGAAGCGCTGGTCGACCAACTGGCCGCCGGCCTCCTTCCCGCCCTCGAGGTACTTGCCCACACCCTTGCTTGCCCACTCCCTGGACTTGTCCGCGCGGCCGCTCACGCAGAACTCGATGAACTCGGCCACCGTATGCTCCTCCGAATGGTTGTCGTTAGCCTCCAGCACGGCCAGCACCTCGCCGTCCGCGCAGGAGCGCTCCCCGTACGTGCTGCAGTGGCTGCCGCACTTCAGCGTGATGATCCAGATGCCCCCGCCGGAGGAGCCGGCCAGCCCCAGGGCCCAAGGGAGCGCACGATGCGGCTGCTGGGCAGGGCGGCCATGAAGCCCTCCGTGCTGCCGACCGCGGTGCGGCCGAAGCCGCCGCTCTCTCTCTCTCCCGCTCGGCGAGGGCCGCGTGCACCTGCTCGGAGCCCACCCGGCGCCTGCGCCCGCGGTCCAGCCCGACGCGGCCGCGCTGCGCGTCGGGCACGCTCAGGAGGTAGGACCCGCCCCAGACATGCGACGTCCTGATTTTTTCAGGACGGCGTCCCTGGAAGTCCAGACCCTTTCCCCCGGACCGGTTTTTCGTCCTGCGTCGTTTTTTGACGGCCCCGAGGCCCGGCGAGGGCCCCCCGGGGCCGAAAATAGCGAAAAACCTCCCGTCCTGATTTTTTTTTCGTCCTGCGTCGTTTTTTGACGGCCCCGAGGCCCGGCGAGGGCCCCCCGGGGCCGAAAATAGCGAAAAACCTCCCGTCCTGATTTTTTTACGACGCCATCATGTCTGGGGCCGTAGAAGCCGATACACGGTTCCGCCTGCGCGGCGTCGGCGGCGGCGGTGCCGGCCCTGCCCGGGCTCCTGCCGCGGTGGCCTGCAGGGGGGCCCGTGAGGACGAGGCTCCACGCGACGCCCGCCGGGCCCCCGAGGATCGTGGAGCGCCGCGGGAGGAGCTGCTGCGCACCAGCCTGGAGCAGATCCCTATGCCTCTGCTGGGCACCTCCTCGTCACGATGCCAATCTCAGGGACTCCCTCTTTATTTTCGGAGGGCGGACCCCCAGGATCGTCATCGCCTTTTGGGCGTGTCAACCTCAGGGATAGGGATGCGTTCGAGGCTGGTAATGCTGCTGGCCGGCAGTCCGTGCCAGGCCCTCAGCGCGGACGTCGCCCCCAGCGCCGCGGCGCCGCCGCCGAGCGCCAGGCACCGGGCGGCGCGCGCCAGGAGCGGCGCGGGGGCCACTGCGCCCTGGCGCGGGCGCCACGGCCAGGCCGCGCGGGCCGCTGCTCCTTCTACTCCCCCTCCTCCTCCTCGTCCTCCTCCCCCTCCTCCTCCTCCTCCTCCTCCTCCTCCTCCTCCTCCTCCTCCTCCTCCTCCTCCTCCTCCTTCACTCACTCCCTCCTCCGCTCATATCCCTTCCTCCCCCTACTCCTCGAGGGCGAGGGCGAGGGCGAGGGAGGGGACGAGGGCGAGGGCGGGGACTTGCCAAGGTTTTCACAAGGCTTTGACAGCGCGTCGCGCTGCTACCAGCAGCTGGGGCAAAGGCACGCTGGTGCTTTCATGTCACAGGGGCGAGGGCGAGGACGAGGACGAGGGCGGGGACGGGGACGAAGAAATCTCCGCAAGATGGGTCGAAAGAAGGCACCGAGTGAGGGGTCAGAAGAGGGACAAGACTGGGCAGAAGGAGGGGGAGGAGGCCTGGTATACGAGGGGACTCGAGCGAGAATGATGAATTCGAGAAGGGGCAGGGCGGAACGGTGGGATAGGGCCGCAGGTGGGGTTTGGGGAGCATCGCTACAAGCGGACCCAAGGAGAAGAGAGTGTTGCATTCAGCTGGTTTGCTTCCCTGGGCACACGAACGAACCAATCAGCCGCGCCGTGACGGTATACGTTTGCTGCAGTGCATATTGACCGTGTGAATCAGAATGCACCCTTCCAGCGGCTGGCCTGCTTGGCACACGCGAGAGGGGGGAGGGAAAGAGTTCGGTGGTAACTCATGGGAGCCTCCCATACCACCTTGTCGGCTCTTGCGAATCGACGCTAGTCGACGGCAAATCGACGCTAAATCGACGCCAATCGACCGACGCTAAATCGGCGCTATCTCAACGACTCCCAGAGTCCCAGATGCTAATCGACGCTAAAAACGAATTAAGAGGGTATACAAGGTTCATATGCTTTGCTACCGAAAAGAGGGGGGGAACCGAACTCGACATACACCTCCTTTAGGGAACCGAGTTCTATACACGACGCGTTTTCCCGGTCCTGCGCTGACACTTGCACAGGAAAGCTGATCCTGGTGTATACATGTTTCGTTGCTTCCCCGGGATAACGCGGGAAAAACAAGTATACACCACACCACCCCGACGTCGTCCCCGCCCCTCAAAAATCCTTGGGATTGAAGAACAGCCCGCCACTGGGAACGTATACGCTCCAGCTTGCGAGAAGGGGGCTGGGCAGCGGAAGCAGGCAAGCCTCTGGGAGAGCAAGCGGCAGTGCTGCCAGACAGTGGATCCCTCCTGGGGCCAACTCCTCCGAACCTCTCTTGAGGGGCGTCCCTGCCAGAAGGTCGGGGCGAGTCCGGCCGTGGCCACGAGGACGCTTGAGGAGGCGCAGAACACGGGCCGCAGCCGCCCAAGAGCCCCGAGGCTCGGTCCTCGAATCCCCCCAGAGCCGATGTAAGACCCTCACTTCGGGGAGTCGCACAAGAAGGGGTGGGAAGGAGGAGGAGGAGGAGGTGGAGGAAGAAGAGGAGGAGGAGGAGGAGGAGTCCAGGATGAGGAGGAGGAGGAGGAGGAGGAGGAGGAGGAGGAGGAGGAGGAGGAGGAGGAGAGGAGGAGGAGGAAGGGGTAGGAGGAGGAGGAGGAGAGGAGGAGGAGGAGGAGGAGGAAAAAAAGGGAGAGGAGGAGGGAGGAGGAGGTGGGGTGAGAGGGCGGGTCTGAAGGCACCCAGGCGGCAGAAGACCCTGAGCAGCATCGCTCCAAGGGGAGACGAGAGCACCATACTGCACTGTGCCCTGATGGGGGGGTGCTGTACTCTACGCTTGCAGGAGAGACTCCACGGGAGAATCTGCGGGAGACTCTGCGGGAGATCATGCGGAAGACCATGCGCGGGACCCCGCGCGAGACCATACGGGAGTCCATACCCGATGCCAGACGGGAGGCCTGGCGGGAGGCCATGCGGAAGACCACGCGTGGGACCCCGCGCGAGACCATACGCGAGTCCATGCCCGACACCAGCCAGACGGGAGGCTTGGCGGGAGGCCATACGGGGAACCACACGGGAGGCCATAACTGCGGGTGGCCGTGCGGGCAGCCGTGCGGCAGGCCGTGCGGG